AATGCAGAAGACACTACTAAATTTTCTAGGACTCAGTCCCCGTCGAGTCGTCCGCTCGTGACTGGATGTTCATGCCAGTTCTGTTTGTATGTGCGTTTACCATCACCGCACTTCTCTCAGTGCTTGCTGTAAGTCAATTTGTAGAAGAGTTTTCTTTATTAGTAAATGTGAATCTTCATTTCAGGTCCATTTGGTCAAGCAACGTCGCCATTACTATAACAACAATATCCAGAATATCGACGATATTGAAGGAAAGAGCAGCCTTGCATATCAGGTATGATATCAGTTCTTACAAATTGGTGATAGAAATTTTTATCGAATTTTCCAGGAACTCTGTCGCCAACGAATCGCGCAAGATCCACCCGGATCTGGACGCGCAAGCAAGAGCTCATCCACATCAAGCTGGGGAGAGGAAGCAATTCAACAATCTGGTATCGATATCTCTACTGGTCATGTGATTCTGGTACGTTCTATCAGAACTTTGGAGTGATCTAAGCTAACGAGTGATGATTTTTCCAGAACTTCTTGCAAGAATGCCTTGCTGATCCGACAAAGATTGAAGCACAATGGGATGCGATTCGTGATTACCGTAATACCGACAAGCATACGACGACTGGCACTGAACATCCACATCGTAACAGGAGCGTCGTGCCATGTAAGCTCATCTGAAAGGTTTGAACCTTTGAAAAAGTGCAATGTTTTAGTCGACGAAAGCCTTGTGCCAGTTGACTCATGGGAGGAAGGCAAAAAGGAATACCTGAATGCCAGCTTCATTTACGACGATGATCCACGGTATGTGATCACTTTTTAACACCGTAATTTGAGCATATAATCAGATTTTCTGGTTTTAGCCAGCCAGTCTACATTGCTGCACAGACACCGAAAGCAGAGGACATTGCAGCGTTTTGGCAAGCTATTTGGCAACATGGAGTATGCTTAATCGTGAATCTGTCGACCATCGAAGAAGGAAAACAGGAGAAGTGTTATTGGCCCGAATCTGGCGCAGAAGTCCACGGTCCATTCGAAGTAGGATTCTCAAGACATCAATCTTCACACTTACTATTAGACATAACTTTGTTGTAGATTCATCTTGTGTCCGAGCACATTTGGAGCGACGATTACCTCGTGCGTTCGTTCTACTTGAAGAACCTGCGCAACGGTCAGACACGAACAATCACGCAGTTCCACTACATGTCGTGGAAACAAGGCGAAACACCAGCTAGTCCAAAGAGTCTTTTGGAATTCAGACGGTAAGCACATGGGTATATGTAACAGAAGGTCTCTTGCAAAGTTTATGAATCATCTTGAAGTATACACGAGGCATTTTCTATGACTGATTACTCAGGTTGACATACCTACTAAATTTCTAGCTCTCTCTGTGCATAATAAATAAGTTTGAATGCTAGCAGCGCAAACGTAGATTTAATCTCTATGTCTGCGTTTTGACATACGAAGAAGAAACGTTCGCCATTTTCTGTACACATTGCATAAGCCAGTATCCTAGGATCGACTGTTTAGTAGCCCGATGCTTGCAAAATTTTAGTGCACATTTGATTAACGGGCGGCATTTAGGAAAGTGAACAAATCATATCGCGGACGAGCATCACCTGTACTGGTGCATTCATGGGAAGGTGCAGGACGAACGGGTGTCTTCTGTGCAGTGGACATGCTTTGCGCACGA